TACGCGGTTACGTCAATTACGAGAACCACGGCGATCTTACGTCGTCTCTTCAAAGACTTTTCTTCTCTTCAAGAGAAGAAGAGAACTCTTATCTTTCTCTCTCTTTCTCTTTCTCTCTTTTTCTCTCTCTTTCTGTCTTCAACAACAAGGATGGTCTCACGTCGAGATATTTAACGATAGATTATTTCAACGTCTATTATTTTCCACTTAGTTATATATCTGTCCCTCTATTATTAACCTATACAATCATCTTGTATTCTCATTATATAAGTTTCTAATGTATTTAACGATAATATATGTTATTAATATATCTCACTATCTTTCATCAATAAAATTCTCTGTATCCCCGTTCTATACTTCATTACTATTTTTTATCTTTTTTTCTCTCTCTCTCTCTCTCTCTCTCTCTTTCTTTCTCTCTCTCTTTCTCTTTTTTTATTACTTTTTACTCGTACGATCATTAAAACTTAATATATTATTTAGATAGTGTTAATAATAACTGTTCAAAGTTCTTACATGAATGTTCACACCAAGTTTCTTTCTCAAGTAATGGACATTTTCAAAAGATACAAGCTCGATGATTAAAAAGAGCTATTTACGTATCCAATTCCGTTCAAGAAAGGTAATACGCCCTTTAATCGCAAGCAAACGGTGAAGCCAAAGGATAGCCGATTTTAATCTCCGGTTTGAGATTGGCCAGTCGTTCGCTGACACGAGAGGACGCTTCTTCCGTTGCGGATAAGAAGGATTACTTGCAACTTTCTCGTTTTCTCTCTCTCTCTTTCTCTCTCTCTCTATCCAATATTCTCGAATAAGTCTTCCCTTGAAAACTCGTTTCAGGTTTTCCACCGAAATCTAATCCATTTCGAACTATCAGATTTATTCATTACTTTATACTATATAAATAAATTAAATTAATATTTAATTATTAAATTAAAGTAATATTTAATATATGTATAATATATTTTTAATATATATATATATATATATATATATATATATATAAATAAAATAATTAAATAGTAATTTGATTTATTTTAAAAACTTAATTTTTGTATATGGTATATAATATATATTATTATTATTATTATTATTATTATTATTATTATTATTATTATTATTATTATTATTATTATCGAATTATTTTGAAAATGATTCAATAGGAAAATATAAATGTGTATAGCTATAACGTTGATACGATAAAATTAAAAAAACAAAAATATATATATATATATATAAAATGATGGATAAAAATTTAATAAAGTTTACGATCGTAAGATGAAAAAGATATTCATTTTCTTAAATCTCTCTCTCTCTCTCTCTCTATCTCTCTTCAATCTGTTGTAATTATAACGATGGTGTTAATTGACGACAAGTTTTTCTCTCGGCGAAAGAAAATCGAGTACGTCGGATCCATCGTCGAATCGAAATTGCAAAGACGCGATACGAATCGCGATGCGCCGAGAAACATGAATTTCATTCGCGAAACAAAGTTTCTCTTCCAAAGAAATATTGCGATCCTCTGCATCGTTTCTCGCTTCAGCGTCGCGTGAAATCTTTGCCTTCGTAAAACCGAGCTTCTTTGTATTCACAACTGAGAAAAAGAAAGAGGAGGAGTAGTAGTAGTAGTAGTAGTAATAGAAGAGTAGAAGTAGAAGAAGATGAAGAAGAAGATGTAGATGAAAAATAAAAAGAAAAATCGAGACTTTTATACTGTCGGTTGGCTTTTGTAAACGACTTTCAGTTTACTTTCCTTCTACATTGTGGATCATCCTTCCGTTAATAAATACTTCGATCTTTTCTCCTCGTACAATTAGAGCGTGGATAATCCTCTTAACGCTAGAACTAACAAACCCTCCAAAAATGTTAAATTTTAATTTTCTCATACGTTACAATTAGTCAAATTATTGATTATACTATGAAGAATGTTATAATTTGAAAGTTGTTTAAATAAAATTAATTAAAAGTAATAAGCGTATTCGTGTATGTGTGTGTGTGTGTGTGTGTTTGGGTATGTGTGTGTGTGTGTCTGTATATGCGTATAATAAACAATTCGACAATTCTAGCGTTAAAAAAATATTACAACGATAATTAAAATCTTTCTAGCATTAATTAACTAATTACTAAAAATGTTCGAAGTTAACAAAAATGAACAAATTAAAATTATATTATATTAACGTGAAATTATTAAAAAAAAAGAAAAAAAAAAATATATATATATATATATCAAATAAAACCAGTTGAAATAAATTTATGTTTGAAATAAATTTGATGATCGTTAAAAATGATTATCTTTATTCTATTATTTCGAATTTGATTCAACAATAGTATATATTTCGAAACCGGAAGCTCTTACAAACCGCGTATAGTCGCGATTCGCTTGATATTTCGCGAGAAAGCGTTCTACCGGTCGCACTGCTGATGTTTGTGGTAGACCGCAAGTCAACCGCGAGTTAATTAATACTTATTCCACCGTAAAACATTCGTTTGCGTAATTATA